CAATCCCCTTCAGAATCTTGAATGTGGTGATCATGTCCCCCCTAACTCTTCTGTCTTCCAGCGAAGTGAGGTTTAATTCCCGTAGTCTCTCCTCGTAGCTCATACCTCTCAGCTCGGGTACTAGTCTGGTGGCAAACCTTTGAACCTTTTCCAGTTTAGTCTTATCCTTGACTAGATATGGACTCCATGCTGGGGCTGTGTGTGTGTGTGTGTTTGTTTGTGTGTGTGTGTGTGTGTGTGTGCGTGTGTGTGTGTGTTAGAGATAAATATATATGTAGTAGATATAACAGAGGAAAAATAGATTTCGTTAGAAGGGCGGAGTCTAAGAGCTAATAGCTCGATTCTGCAGACACAAATAGTAAATACAAATAATAAACACACACACAACAAACCAAACACACCAACCTCACCAACATAACAAACATCATGAGGGCCAGGAGTCGCAGCACTAGACAACTTACTCATCTAGTAGAAGGCATGCCCTCAGACGCTAACCCTCAAAACATAACAGAGTGCGTTTGGGTGGATGCACCCACCCACACGTGGTATGGTACCCGTCAGACCCACGGAACACCCCCACCACTAACAAATGGTATTCCAGGGGCTACGGCGCAAGAATTCACTCTCATCAAGGAACGTAAATACCCTTTTCTTTGCATCGTTGACGAATCTGGTACCCGAAATTTGATCCCGAAATAATGCACACTCAATTGCCTATATTTCTTCTTGTTAGAAAATTTATGTTCTTAATAGATTCCCCTCAGTTTGCACCCAGAAGAAAACGTAAGTTTAGGGGCTAGATAAATGTTAAACTTCTTATTTGATAAATTGTTCACTTGAGACAGTTAAGTAAGTCCAGCTGCGTCTGGGTACAAGTGACAGGATGAGAAACCCAGCGGGTTTTCATCCTAGGGGCAAGGGGGATGTTCTCCTAGCTGTTATGGGGGGTATGTTGATTCACAGGAGAGGTGACGCTGCCCAATACTGTCCCCATGGCAGTGTGTTCACTCACAGGATGAGTATCATTATGGCAGTGTGTTCACTCACAGGATGAGTGTCATTATGGCTGTGTTAATGGGGATTTAGTGGATTTCTTACACAATCATGTCCTTCGTAATCAAACTGTCTTAATGCTTTCCCCTGATAATTATCATCACCATCATATTATTATTATTATTATTATTATTATTATTATTATTATTATTATTAAACGACCAATATCATTACGACTATAACTATCGTTATTATTATTTATTAATTATTTTTTGGTAAAATCATTATTAGCATAGTTCTTTGTATTACTGTCATTATTATTGAAATTATTTTTACTGAAATTTTTGATGCTATTTTAGTTAATATAACTTTTTGCAACAGCAACAGAAGAGGGAGTTGCTTTAGTTGATTGTATAGAAAAGTATTATTGTAGTTAACACTTTTATTAATATATTATTAACAATATTATCATTAGTAATAGTAGCAGCAGTACTGATAACAGCAGTAATAGCAAAGAAGCAACAGTAGCAGCAGCAGTAACTGTAGTAATAGTAGCAGCACCAGTAACAGCAGCGACAGTAACAGTAGCGACAGTAACAGTAGAGACAGTAGCAGTAGCAGTAACAGTAGCAACAGTAACAGCACCAGTAACAACAGCGACAGTAACAGTAGCGACAGTAACAGTAGAGACAGTAGCAGTAGCAGTAACAGTAGCAACAGTAACAGCACCAGTAACAACAGCGACAGTAACAGTAGCAGCACCAGTAACAGCAGCGACAGTAACAGTAGCACCAATAGCAGCACCAGTAGCAGCAGCGATAGTAACAGTAGCAGCAATAACAGTAGCAACAATAGCAGCACTAGTAACAGTAGTGACAGTAGCAGTAGGAGTAACAGTAGCAACAGTAACAGCACCAGTAACAGTAGCAGCAATAACAGTAGCAACAGTAGCAGTAGCAGCAGCGATAGTAACAGTAGCAGCAATAACAGTAGCAACAGTAGCAGCAGCAGCAGTAACAGTCACAGGAGCAGCAACAATCGTAGCATCAGTAACAATAGCAGCAGTTCGTGGTCGCTCTTATTATATATTCTATTTTATTTGTGTAATTTTACTTTGATGAAATTGCAACAAAGTATTTCCAATTTGCTCGACATATATTAGTGCTGCAAGGTTTCCCTCCATCAATGACATAAGGAGGGAAATTATTAAGTAAAGAAGGATGACTGCAAAGAATTCCTTGCTTATTTACGAGTATGATAGAGAGAGAGAGAGAGAGAGAGAGAGAGAGAGAGAGAGAGAGAGAGAGAGAGAGAGAGAGAGAGAGAGAAAGAGAGAAAGAGAGAGAGAGAGAGAGAGAGAGAGAGAGAGAGAGAGAGAGAGAGAGAGAGAGAGAAAGAGAGAAAGAGAGAGAGAGAGAGAGAGAGAGAGAGAGAGAGAGAGAGAGAGAGAGAGAGAGAGAGAGAGAGAGAGAGAGAGAGAGAGAGAGAGAATGGGATAATTAGTATGATATAGCAAGGTGAACTCTGTCCCAGACAATTTCTCACGTTCACGGGACATTTGAACTTCATATAATACCCACCTTCACAACACAAGAATATTGTTGCATACTATATGTTATCCCTCACAATCTTGCTTCATCACGGCTGTCTGTTGCCAATCATCGGTTTAAGTTGTGACGTCAAAATGGTCACCATCACCAAAGGAGACCCTAGCCGGCCCCAGGACGTTAAAGAGACTCATTTAGCGCACTAATAATTCAATGGACGACGAAATAAATACTAGAAATAAATAGCCTCTGATGAAAATGGGAATGTGGCATCTCTTTTCGCAGACGCTAGCAGCTGATTGGCGTGATTAATAGTGTGTCCAACGAGGGTGGCGGGGTACGACGACCACCATCCAGACGCCAGAACACACTCTCTCTCTCTCTCTCTCTCTCTCTCTCTCTCTCTCTCTCTCTCTCTCTCTCTCTCTCTCTCTCTCTCTCTCTCTCTCTCTCTCCTCTCTCTCTCTCTCTCTCTCTCTCTCTCTCTCTCCTCTCACGCTCTCTCTCTCACAAAAATGTATTTTTTCAGCTTACTGGACAACAACTAGCTTTGAAGGGGCCCATGTCGTTGTTTTTCATATATCTAGCATTGGTAGAATCACGGACACACACTCTGCTACACACAGATAAACATGTAAACAATAGCATAAACACACTTAAGTCTCACGTAGTAACTGGTAGATAAGTACTCATAGGTCAATACACACTGGTGTACTGTGTCTACTGACCTATGAGTATAGGTCAGTATCTCTAATGCATAAACAAGCGTTAAACTAAGCTCACATAGGTGAACACACACACACACACACACACACACGACACACACACACACACACACACACACACACACACACACACACACGAACACACACACACACACACACACACACACACACACACACACACACACACACACACACGAACACACACACACACACACACACACACACACACACACACACACACACACACACACACACACACACACACACACACACACACACACACACACACACACACACACACACACACACACACACACACACACACACACACACGAACACCCATACACCCACACCCTGCCTCCATACACAGTTTCAAATGTAAATATGAAAGAGCCCAGTAGGCTCAGGAATCTGTACCTCAGTTGATTGACAGTTGAGAGGCGGGAGCAAAGAGCCAGAGCTCAACCCCCGCAAGCACAACTAGGTGAGTAAAACCAAGTAAGTACACACACAATGTTTGCTGACGATACAAAAATTATGATGAAGATTCAGACCGAGGAAAAGAGCAGGAAGCTACTAAATGATATAGACAGACCGAAGGAGTGGTCCAACAAATGGCTACTAAAATTCAACTCAATTAAATGTAAAGTAATGGAACTAGGTAAGGGAGCAAGAGACCACAGGAGACGACGTCCTCTTCAAAACGGACAGAAAGAATGAGAGAATGAACCTTATATGAAGCACAAGTTCGCTCTCATCTAGAGTATGCACCCCTTGCCTGGATCACCTGCCCCCATTATTTATCAGACTTTTGAACAAAGTGGAGATCCGTGCAAGAAGGCTCATCTCTAGTTATGATCAAGTCTGACTGTAGCGATGTGAACAGTAGAGCCTGCAACGCCATCGTGACGTTGATGGTCTTACTGTTATGTACAAGGCCAACATTCTCAAAGTTACGCATCTGGTCCAACTCTGTGGACAACCAGTAGTTGGCCCCCGTAGCACTAGACTCTCATCCCTCAACAGTCTCATGCTGGATGTGCCTTTCTCAAGTACATCGATCATTCATTCTTAGACTGACTCGCATTAGCTCTTGTTAGCTCGCATTAGAAACTTGTTAGCTCAACAGGTTGATACAAGGGAGATCAGGTCAACTGATCACATGAAGGCTCTGGCACAGATGGCTTCAGACTCATCCTATTCCTTATATGATTGTTTCCTAATGCTGTTAATGAATAAAGTTTACTCCTATTGTTTTATACAATAGGCTCATGAAATTAATGGGTCTCTAGGAGTAGGTTTCAACTGAGCTGAGGTGGTATTATAACTCTTGCTTGTAGTTTCACCAGGGTTCCTAATATGATAGTTCCCTATGTCATAGAATCAAAGTAAATTTTCATGAAATACAAGTCTCTAGGAGCAGGCTTCAGATGAACTGATGTAGGATAATACCTCCTGATTGTAGTTTCACTAGGTACGTCAATTGACAGCCCTTATGAGCCCTAGCCTTAGTTAAAAAAAAAGCTAGGAGTTTATATCACACAGAACCTGTCTCCGGAAGCCCACATCAAGAGGATATCATCAGCAGCGTATGCGAGGCTGGCTAACATCAGAACTGACATTAGTAACCAAAGAGCCGAAGCTCAAACCCTGCAAGTACAATTAGGGAAGTTCACACTCATTCTACAAGAATAATGAGCACATTAGAACACAAAAAAAAAATATATATACTCTCTCTAAACCACACATTTATTACAATTACTCATTACATGTTTTTGACATATAGCTGGAGGCTGATATTCTTCTCTAACTCCTTTGATGCAAGACCATCACCGAGGATGCGGAAGACGTTCACTCTATGAATTTCTATAGTTAGGAGCTGGACGTTGCAGGACGATGGTGCTACTTGCAACTCGTGCCTTTTCGATGAGTCTTGAACCCAACTCTGTAGAATCGATTGGCATCATCCCATGTGCCATCACCTTCCAAACCTGTTGGAACAAAAACATAATAAAGATAATGAAACGAATTTTATCACATTTTCATATGAACGTCCCCAAAGATACAAAGCCAGTGTTCTCAACGCTTATATTCGTCGATTCGTCGAACCCTTACCCACTGCTCTGAATAGAGCAACGTGAGTAGGGAGTTGGAGAGAATAACGCAATAATATATATATATATATATATATATATATATATATATATATATATATATATATATATACTAAATGCACAAAAAAGCCAACAAGTTATAGCATTTGCCAGAAATTACTGTACCTGAAAAGCGGAGAATTGATGGGCTGAACGTCGAATAAATCGAGCTCTTCGGCATCATTTGTCATCACTAAAACTATGAATATCAATGATCGCTTACTGAGGGTCAACAGAGAAATGTTGCAGAATGATGGCAAAACAGTTATCCGTAATGGACATCACAGCTTACTTATTGCAAAGGTAGATGCATTTGTTTATTAAAAATATGAAAATTAGATTTATGTTGATCAACATAATCGAGGAAAAAGATGACCAAATAATAAAAATGGACAGTTAGTAGTAGATAAATAATAATTATGTTAATTAATTATTTAAGGAATGGGAGTTATTTAGCACAGGTAAAACGAAGTTTCTGAACAGGCAGCTTAATAAAGAATAAACTGTTTTATCATTGAAAAGAAGTTATTAATGGGGTACCCATTATTACCCATTGGGGTAATTATCCCCAGTAATAATTAAGTGCACAAGACGAAATAAGATCAAATAAACGAACGACTGAAAATATACAAAACAACAGCAAATATAAAATCCTAAAATCTTACATGCAATAAATTAAAACAAAAACTAACACTGCATAATATATGACCCCAGGGAAAATATATGGAAAAAACTGAATATGGAAAACCCCAGCCAGAGTTCGCGTTAAAAACCTGACAACAATAATCTCTGCCGTCGGGTTTGTTTTGATCACAGGCCTCGCTGTGTTATGATGGATGAGCCAGCGTTATTGATCGCCCTGCCTGGCCCCCTGCACACCCCCATGCTGCACTCCAGACCTGATGCAACCTCTATATATATATATATATATATATATATATATATATATATATATATATATATATATATATATATATATATATATATATATGTCGTACCTAGTAGCCAGAACTCACTTCTCAGCCTACTATGCGAGGCCCGATTTGCCTAATAAGCCAAGTTTTACTGAATTAATATATTTTCTCTAATTTTTTTCTTATGAAATGATAAAGCTACCCATTTCATTATGTATGAGGTCAATTTTTTTTTATTGGAGTTAAAATTAACGTAGATATATGACCGAACCTAACCAACCCTACCTAACCTAACCTAACCTATCTTTATAGGTTAGGTTAGGTTAGGTAGCCGAAAACTTTAGGTTAGGTTAGGTTAGGTAGGTTAGGTTGTCGAAAAAACATTAATTCATGAAAACTAGGCTTATTAGGCAAATCGGGCTATGCATAGTAGGCTGAGAAGTGAGTTCTGGCTACTAGGTACGACATATATATATATATATATTAGGGGTGGTAGGAGAGGAAAAGATTAAAGTATTCAGTGAGAATCCACAAGGTCTTCTCTGAACACTATTTATTTTCTTCTTCGAGGATGTGGGTCCCTTTAATTAAACCAGTAGTGGTACCCCTAAAAATATATATATATATATATATATATATATATATATATATATATATATATATATATATATATATATATATATATATATATATATATGTCGTACCTAGTAGCCAGAACGCACTTCTCAGCCTACTATGCAAGGCCAAATTTGCCTAATAAGCCAAGTTTTCCTGAATTAATATATTTTCTCTAATTTTTTTCTTAAGAAATGATAAAGCTACCCATTTCATTATGTATGAGGTCAATTTTTTTTTATTGGAATTAAATTTAACATAGATATATGACCGAACCTAACCAACCCTACCTAACCTAACCTAACCTATCTTTATAGGTTAGGTTAGGTTTGGCAGCCGAAAAAGATAGGTTAGGTTAGGTTAGGTAGGTTAGGTACTCGAAAAACAATTAATTCATGAAAACTTGGCTTATTAGGCAAATTTTGCCTTGCATAGTAGGCTGAGAAGAGCGTTCTGGCTACTAGGTACGACATATATATATATATATATATATGGAGTACAACCTCTGGTGCAAGTGTAGGGATCCATAGCCTCGAAGAAGGGAACACAGAGCATTCGAAGAAAAACTTGCCATTGAATTTCTCGGGCAGAACACTTTTTGAGACGTACTTGTGGTGAGGTGTCCGGGAGGTGGAGCATTATCGGCCGGAGCCACGGAAACATGGAGGCTGGACTAGATTACGTCACTGATGCCAGACTCTGATGGGCTAATCCCCTGAAAGCCTGCCAACCTGTCAGCCAGAAAGGTAAACAACTTTCAGCCAACCAATTTAGTCAGCCATATAGTTACACACATCCAATCAGGTGGTCAGCAACATATAGCTACCTACCAGTCACTTAGTCAGCTACATAGCTACAGAATCAGATAGTCAACCACACAGTCAGCTAATTAGTAAACCACATAGCAATGCGCTACCACAGATCAGTTATTGCTTGCTTGTAAAATTATATTAATTCGACTTGTAGGTTTAAGTAATGCATCTCTCCGCTAAGTCATAATCCTGATAAATAATACTAGTCACTATTTTTCTTCGTGAATCGCAGTTCTTACAAGTAAATTGTTTGGTTTCTTAATAACTGGCAAATTATTTATGGGTGAAGCATAGTTTTGCTTTTAATAAATATTTGTATTACTCATTCGGCGCATGAGTGAATTAAGGAAAATATATGGCGACTAAAAAACATAATTTTTTTATATAGATACCTCACACCCTCATTTACATCTAAGGGCGCAGCAATGAGGCAAAGCTCTAATGCTAGCACTCATATCCTTACTCACAACAGGTTAGTGGGTAGGTTGAGCTAGATAAGCATCCACATTCACGCCCAGGATCCCACTCATGTAAATGGAAAATTGGAGAGCTACCAGTGATCAAGAAGAGAGCCAAAGTAGCGCCAATATGCCAAATTGGAGACAGACAAGAGGCGGAAAGCCACAGGCCAGTGTACTCATATTATTCAGTGTAATCGAAACGTTGGTTTATAAGAAACTAGTAAAATTGTGTTGACTATTATTTTCCTCCCGAGACTGCTGTGCAGCAGTCAAGGATGGGTTTTGGCTTTATGTATGTTGTACTGGGATGGTCTCTACTTCTATATCCACTCTACTGGAACGTATTGACTATCAGTTTATGTGAGCAAAATGTCGAATAATGCGTGCAGAGTTGCAAGAGAAAGAGTCGCGTAACGTTTTCAGATATCACTGCCCAGGAGCCATGACATTGGCTGTTAAATTACCTCACCACAATCGCACGAGAACTCCTCTTACTTTCACCGATGGTTGGTCACAAAAACAGTCTGCTCATCTTGGGGAGAACATCTTTCTTCTAAATTTGGAACAATAAAATTCCAGAATTCAGGGGTAAAAAAATCCTTGTTGTGGTCTTGTTACCAGTGATGCAAGAACCGGTGATAGTTGGCTTCAGTGTCACCATCAGCCATCCTTGTTTCCTTATTTTAAGGAAATGTAGCAGTATGAAGAGTTTGATTTCTGCAGAATTCTAGCTATAAATTCACCGGTTTATATACACAGGATAAGACTCCTGCTGCAATGGTCAACCTTGTAAAATTACATTTCTAAGACTCTTGGTTAAAACGGATCTTATTTTATTTATGCCAGCTAATCCTGTGTTGTTGCGCAGTGGTGCTCCTGGGTCATGGTCCGATAGAGTGTGCCTTGAAGAAGGAAATAGAAGCCAGAGGACGTGTAAGATAGATACAACGTTGACAGAACAGAAGAGAATCATGGCAACTATAAACATAGGTGAATGAGCAGGCAATCAACACATTGATTGATTATAATGCCCCTTCGTCCCCTCCCCCCCCCCCAAAAAAAAGAGGATTCGTGGAAAACATGAAATAGTAATAAAAGAGAGAGAGAGATTATGGTAAGTGTTTTCACGTGGGCCAGAGCTTCAAGGGGAAACCCGGATTCGAAGAATAGACCCATTGAAAAATTGAGCAAAACAGAAGTGCTACCAGGGGAGGTGACGAGACAACTAGAGGACCTGCATAAGATGTGAGATGTGACAAGGATAAATCCCACCATGGAAAATGAAAAAGGCAGCAAATGCAATATTTATTTACACGAAAGGAGAAAAGCAAGGAGCCGCTGAATTACAGGTTTGTGCCACTAACAAATATTCCTTGTACGGTTTCTGGAGAGACAACACCACTATGGGTTCAGTAAAGGCAGATCATGCTCAACGAGTCTATTATAACAAAATAACAACGATATAACAGGAGAAAGAAGGGTGGAGTGGCTGTATCTTCCTTGATTGTCAGAAAGCGTTTGTCACCGTCCCGCACGAGAGGCCCTTATATAAACATGAGAGCAAAGTTGGTACAACTGGAAAAGTGCTGGGATGGGTGAGGGGGTACCTCTCGGGTGTTGCAATCACGTGTATGAGGATATGAGGGAGGGAGGAGGTGAGTGAGAATTCGAAGGATTGGATGAGTTATGAGGCGTGAGAAAGTAGCAGGGCGTGCCTCACCGAGATGAGGGTGGATGACTAGAGGAATGGTGGATGTGGTAAAGGACAAGGATAGAAATAATGGAGAGGATTTACACTATCTTAACCACGACTCCAAAATTTATCTCTCATATCATATTGCCTGTTAACCAGTCAGAAGGCGAGAGGGGGCAGGGATACGTTTAGTGAATTAAACGGACTGTTCACTTCAACAATAAAAATTCAGGGATGGAAACATACACATTAACCACACATCACTTTCTCACATCACATAACCAGCGCCCCACATGGGCGATACTACACCTCTCTTGGACCACGACTCGACCTATAGTTCTCTCCATGTCTACTATAGTCTTTCCCATTGTGACTTCCGCTCCCCCGTTCTTGGCACCTTAATAGCTATCCCAAAAAAACATAGTCAGTGAGGTCTTCAATGCTTGGACAACGCCACGACAGTTCTATACTTACCAGTTACAATCTATAACGGGTTGGAAACAGAGAGTAATGGTGAGAGAGAAGGAGTGGCGGTAGGAAGGTGTTCCAAGAGGTATGCTTCAAGGATCGGTACTAGAACCCTTTCTGTTCTTAATATTTGGTAATGAATTGCCAGACCAAATGGATTCATTATTATTCTTGTTCGTGGATGATGCAAATCTAATGAGAAGTAATTAAACAGAATATGAAGTTTAAGTATTTAATATTCTGAATAAGAAGTGTTTAGTTGAACTTGGCCACGCTTCATGATACTCGGAGAGATGGTTGTTTGATTTCAATTCTGGTACGTAAATTAATGGGAATTGGAGCCGAAGAGAGAAGAGCCCAATAGCAGCAAAAGTGACAGTTCAATCAGAGAAAGAAAAAAGATTTAGGATTTTATTAATACATAGCCCTGTATCTGACACCAGATGAATATTAACAAAACAACAGCAGAAACATTCATATAGTAAGCAAATGTTCTGGTAACATTTATTTGCGTTGAAAAAAAAGTACACCACACCTATCGCCGCCACAGCAAATGGAGTTGAGTCCCAAAGGTATCAGTCCTTGGACCTATACTGTTTCTGATATATGTAAATGATCTCCCAGAGGGAATAGACTCGCTCCTCTGAATATTTGCTGATGATGCAACAAGTATGAAGTGGATTAACACAGAGGAAAACTACAAGATGACCTAGACAAGCTGAAGGAATGGTCCAACAAGTGGCAACTAAAGTTCAACCCAAGTAAATGTAAGGTAATGAAACTAGGTGGAGGAAATGGAAGGCCAGACAGTGGATACCGAATGGGAGATGAAGTCCTTCACGAAACGGGCAGAGAGAAGGATCTAGAAGTCTGGTTTGGATTGACAGCACGCCGAACCTGTCTCCTGAAGCCCCACATCGAAAGAATAACATCGGCGGCGTATGCGAGGTTGGCTAACATCAGATCCGCCTTCAGAAACCTGTGTAAGGAGTGTTTCAGAACCTTGAATACCACGCATGTAAGACCAATCCTGGAGTATGCGGCCCCAGCATGCAACCCGTACCATGTCAAGCACATGATAAAGATGGAAAAAGTTCAGAGGTATGCCACTAGGCTAGTCCCACAACTAAGAGGCATGAGTTACGAGGAAAGGCTGCGTGAAATGCACCTCACGTCGCTGGAAGACAAAAGATCTCGGGGAGACATGATCACCACATACAAAATTCTCAGGGGAATTGACAGGGTAGACAAGGATGGAATATTTAACACGGGTGGTACACGCACAAGGGACCACAGGAGGCAGCTCAGAACCCAAATGAGCCACAGAGACATTAGAAAGAACTTTTTCAGTGTCAGAGTAGTTAGTAAATGGAATGCACTAGGAAGTGATGTGGTGGAGGCTGACTCCATACACAGTTTCAAATGTAGATATGATAGAGCTCGAGAAGCTCAGGAATCTGTACACCAGCAGATTGACGGTTGAGACGCGGGACCAAAGTGCCAAATCTCAACCCCCGCAAGTACAACTAGGTGACTAGGTGAGTACAACCCACCACCACCACAACCACCCCCATCACCATCACCACCCCCGCCACTAGTACCACCACCATTACCTATCTAACGCGCACATTATCATAATCACCACCACCTTCACTATTGAATATCCCCCTTCTCACGAATTTTCATAAAATTACCATAATAACATTGCCTCCAATAAAAATCTACCATTAGCAGGAGCCATGCCCGTCAGCCTGGCAATATCTTCATGAGGCAAGGTCACGAGATTCATGAGAATCATGCAATAGCAAAAGAAAACATGTTGCATGACTCTAATGATTGTTATTTTGTCTAGTTACAATTACAATGAGCACTGATCATTCAGGGACTCGCTGTGAGTAGGAACTATGGTGTTTATATTCTAATTTAGATATACCAGATTTGATTCATGGTCGACGTGTCTCCACCCTGGCAGCTCTTCTTTTACTGTGATCTTTTATCTTCTGCTGCTAAGGTGTTCTCAATAACCACGTCGCATCTTCCCTCACATCCTGGTCTGTTTCTCAAACGTTTTAGAATCACATTATCCTGGATAATGGTCCAGGATGACCGTCCTGGACCATTATCACATACGACTTGATAATGGTTGACCAGACCACACACTAAAAGTTGAAGGGACGACGACGTTTCGGTCCGTCCTGGACCATTCTCAAGTCGATTGTGGACACCCACACCTTGATAATGGTGTGGGACAGACCGAAGCGTCGTCGTTTCTCCATCTTCTAATGTGTGCTTTGGTCATGATATCTTCAGCCACGTTATTGTGACTCGTCGTCTGCGTATTTAGGATATACGGTCAGGTGATATCGTGCCTACATAGTGCCTGTAGTCCCGTGGGTCTATGACTAAATAACACAGTGATGTTAAGATGTGGGATAATAGTATGAGAGACAATTCTCAGGATTTTCCAAACTGCCCCAAGAATATAATAATCAAATCCTTGTAATATATATTTGGAAATGTGTATTATGTAACAATTGAAGTAAATGTATTTTTTGTATAAAATACGATTAATATATGTGCACTGTGTGGATTTATGAGCCCCCTTGAGGGGACCTGTTATAGGAGGAAGAAATAGCTGTAGTTATTCTATCTTTTTCGAATGTATTTTATCATTTCATTAAACTTACTTGAACTTGAGCTGCGACTCCCCCTGATTATCTCGATTTAAATGAATCGCACTTTGTTATTCCATAAATAGTGCGCACAACTTCCCCTCCATCAAGCGACTTTTACGAACTCTAAATTAATCTTTTTGGTTTTCATAAGCAAAGTCTTTTATGTTCCTCAATAAATTATTGTTTTTTTTCCGTAATCTTTATTCAATTATAACTTTACCATTGGATACCATTTCAATTTTTCAAACCAAAATGATTTTATTTAAAGTATTTTTATTTTGTGATGATTCGTAAAGGAATATTGAACTAACAAAACTTAACGTGACCCTCATCTCCCTTAAATATTTTTTGGTCTATTTAGACACCCAACCCACACAACTGACGACACCCAACCCACACAACTGACGACACCCAACCCACACATCTGACGTCATGCAACCCACACATCTGACGTCACCCAACCCACACATCTGACGACACCCAACCCACACAACTGACGACACCCAACCCACACGACTGGCGACACCCAACCCACACAACTGACGACACCCAACCCACACGACTGGCGACACCCAACCCACACATCTGACGTCACCCAACCCACACATCTGACGACACCCAACCCACACAACTGACGACACCCAACCCACACACCTGACGTCACCCAACCCACACATCTGAAGGTAAAGGAAGTGACGATGTTTCTGCTCGTTCTGGACTATTATGAACCTTTCACTAAGGCCGACCACTCATAGCAATTCATAATGCACAGCCAATCAGAATTTCACAGCAAATACATATTCAATCAAAATTCCTAGGCCTAACATGCAGCATAATAGCCATGTTCAATGCTCTAGTCTTCTAGCACTCCCCCATTCCCAACAGCCTCCAAATTTTTGTTTCTATAATATTCTGCAGCCTCTCTATCATCTTATCTGCTAAAGTAAACCGCATTCGCTTAGCTAATTATTATTTTTTCTTGATATGTAGCTCTTTTCTCGGCTCGTCTCCATTCATTCTCCATCAATGGTCCTATTTTCTTCCTATGTACCTTTCTCTCCACCTCACTCGCAGAACCTCCATCCTTCTCCTGTAACCTCATCCCCTGCTGGGCGCCCCACTAACCATACCTG